ATATATATATATATACATATATATATATATATAATATATATATATATATTATCATTATCATCACTATTATTGTTGTTATCGTTGTTGTGATCATTATCATTAATATGATTAATATTATTATTGTTATTATTATTATTATTATTATTATTATTATTATTATTATTATTCCTGATTACACCGTTGTTTGATTAACGGCCCTTCGTTTTTCAGCAGCTAATAATCTGTAGTGTTATTGCCGTGGTGGCATCACTGCCGGAGGGATCGCCGTCCACATCCTACGGGACTCCCAGCGCAGGAGGACTTGGAGGATCGAGTGGCTCTGGCTTCGGGAGCAGAGGCAGCGGAAGCATCAGGGCAGGAACAGGCGGGCATTTTGGCGGAGCTGGAGGAATCCGAGTCACTTCCGGAACAGCTTTTGGAAGTTCTCTTCAGGGGATTCGGGGCTCAACTGGAGCAGGATTTGGAGGTTCCGCGGGAAAGTTCGGAGGTAGCGGCGCTGGAGCTGGAGGATACAGCGGACCTGTGATTCCCATCCTCAGAGACGACCGCCAGGGACCCGATGAGTTCGGAAACTACAACTTCAACTTCGAAACTGGCAATGGCATCAGTCGACAGGAACAGGGCGCCCCTCAGGGACCAACTGGCGCCGTGGCCTCTCAAGGAGCTTGGTCGTAAGTAATGATTTTAAGTTCCTCAGTGGATAATTGAAGTAAATGTATTCTGATCTACAAGCCTTCCCTAACTGCTATTATTGATTTTCAGGTTTGTCTTCCCTGACGGCACTCCTGCGAATTTCGAGTTCATTGCTGACGGAAGTGGTTACCGTGTGCAGTCCGACCTGCTGCCCACCCCCCCTCCCCTCCCCCCACACGCCATCGCCCAGATCGAGAAGGCTCGTCGGGAGGATGCCGCCGCTGCTGCTTCCGGCGGAGGAGGTGGTTACAGTGGCCAGGGAGGTGCTAGCCAATCAGGGTTTGGCTCCGGTCACTTCTCGGGAGCTGGTCAATCAGGGCTCGGTTTCGGTCAGTTCATAGGTGCTGGCCAGTCACAATTTGCAGGTCCTGCTGGCTCAGGACAGCGATTCTCTGGGTCCACTCTGTCACAAAGTCCCAGCACATCCTATGGCTACCCTTAGGAAACTTCTTGCTATTAGACTAATTTCCCATGGAGTTTTCTCTCCAGATTATTGCCTAATGATATGTTACATCTGCAAATACGTTTGTTAGGATAACTATATGAATCACTGTGCAAAAGAGATTTTTACTTTATCCTTTCGCAAATGCATGTCACGAGTAAAGACCTGGGGGCACACACACACACACACACACACACACACACACACACACACACACACACACACACACCACACACACACTCATATATTTATTGGTTTGTTATTCAGAAAAAAACAGAGATTCATGCGGTGTGAAAGGCACGCAATGCCAAGCAGAATCAAGCTGTGACAACGAGATTATTGAATAGAACAAACAAATTTATACAACTCATTGTGATATGGAAGTAAAGAATACAAAATTGATATAGTACCTTATGATACATAACTGTAGCATAAGAAATTTACATGGTTCAATAAAGACTAAAATCTCCCATGTTTAAATGAATAGCACCTGCGCTTGGCTAACACAGATACGAGTAAGTTTATCGA